GCATAGGCCATTTTAGTCAAGATTAAAGATCACATTTTTGGATTGTTCAAGGTTAATGATGCAAGGCAAGTATTCATAGAAAAGCGCCTCTGAAATAAAAAGCAAAGGCCCCTTAATGACAAGAAATCATTCCTCATGCTTTCTGTGTAAATGAATGGGAAGGTCTAGTGCAATTGTGAGAAATAAGAAACCTGCTACACAAGGGACATTGCACCAGCTCAGAGCTCGACCCCATGTACCTGTTAACATGTGAACATTCTTCCTGATGTATTATACTCTTTGCCAGTGTGGGCATTTGCTTTGTACAACTGCAGAATTTTTACTGGATATTCTCTGAATAAAGATGTTTGGTGAAATATACAGACACTTGTTTTTTTTTCAAGACAGCCTATTTAGCAAATAATGGAGCAAAGTATGTGGTGAGTATCTGGGTTTGGCTGCTCCAGCAGGCAGTCTGGTGTTTATCCAATGACCCTGTGGTATAACCTACTTTGGGTTGTGGATACATAAAAGATGGTAAATAGTGGTCACTTGTCAGCCACTGGAATGCTATCCACTGCCTTGTTATTATGGGGATTTTCCCAATCTGCTCTGGGAAGATGTCACATAGTGGTAAACCTTTAACAATTGGCAGGGAAACCTAGCAACAATGAACCAGTTACATGTTGGAGAACAAAGTTTAAAATACAATGAATTAACTTGATAATACAAAGGAGAGATATGCCGGGCTAGCAGTTGGCAGCAGACTCCATTTACTTTCAAATGCCTCCTTTGAAAAATAGGAAACACAACTGTCAATGAGACAAGAAAAGCCTATGTATACTTTATACTCAGTAAACTTCTATTGACCCATACTAATGATAAAATGTACACAGGTGAGAAATCAAAGCTGATCCTCCAAAGTATTAGAAACCAGTTTCCAAATCACAATACTCATTCATGTAATCTATTAGACGAATTTCTCCCTGAAACAAATATCACTGACTAATGACTAACCAACTAACCAATTGTTTGCCACAATCACAGCCTGGGTGAGAAATAAGAACTTCAGTGAGACTGATTGGACAGTATTACTAATAAATCAATGTAGTGAGTGGGTCAAAGTGTATCTACAGAGATAGCTGTAGGAATTCACAGGCACCTACTTGAATCTTAGGTTGCCCAAAGTAGATCACATTCTTGAACTAACCCACAAGTCTTAGGTATATCAAATTGCTATTTCCAGTTACTTCCTGGCTTTGGTGTATTTCTGAAATTTCCAAGTTAAGTCTAAATGACTTTCTGTGAAGGAAAATATATCTTCCTAGTGGCTCAATTAATGCCCAAAAAAACACTGCCAAAGTCCTACAGAATCTTGATCACAGCTATGTGGAAACCTCTTTGCTCCACAGTCTGAATGGAATATGGAAGTTTTGCAAGGAGTGAGTCAATATGCGCAAGCCTGAAAATAAGGGACAAAGCAAGTTACCTTGCAAATGATAACAAGCGTCAACTCTGACTAGATCTAATATCAGGTTGTTTTTTTGAAAAATCCAAAATTAAGACACTTCTTTTGGTCTTATTTATTTAGCTTTGAATAATTCTTAAATAAAAAGCTTATGAAACAACTCAACTCAGAGTGATGAAACGACAACTACCAAATGTTGTAAGAAAACTAATCATAGGAAACTTATTTTACACACACACACACACACATGTGTGTGTGTGTGTGTGTATATATATAGATATATATACACACACAAAAAACTTTTGTCTCCAAGCATTTTTATGAGTGTTCTGTAAGGTCCTGCAGCTATGGAAAGACTATAATANATATATATACACACAAAAATAACTTTTGTCTCCAAGCATTTTTATGAGTGTTCTGTAAGGTCCTGCAGCTNGATATATATACACACACAAAAAACTTTTGTCTCCAAGCATTTTTATGAGTGTTCTGTAAGGTCCTGCAGCTATGGAAAGACTATAATAATATGTGGAGAGTCAAACAAAAAACACTTTTCTGCAAAACTTCTATCATCAATCATCCCAAATCTTATAGAAGCTGCACTGTGGAAACTGCAACCAGACCACATTTTCAGTTTCTCACTGGACAAAAGGCTGCTTCAGCTATCAGGAGGCCAGCATGTTTTCATAACCATGACCATGGCTGTTGCTCCACCAATGATGGAGTCATCCAAGTACTTAAAAACCACAAAGAATTCATGAAACTGATATGAATCAGCAGTAATTCCCACTTCTCCCCACAGAAACTGAGCATGAGATCAACACTGAAAATTAGTCATTTCATAGGAAAATCAATAAAACTCTAGAACATCTGTAGAAAAGTAAAGTAAAAAGGATTCTGCACCCAATTTCAATGTGTGGGTATGGGTGTAGGGGTGGGGGGTTTCTCACACAACACCAAGTAATTCTCCAACACCAGCTGATTGTCCTACAATTCAACTCAATTCTGACACTGCCTACCTGAAGACAGCCATCACATTCCACAGTCCCACAGGACTACCCTCCACCTCAGACACCCATCACAAGCCCAAGTTGTTACCTGTGATTCTGAACAACTGGCTATAAATCAGAGGTTCCCGAGGCCCCTCCCTTGGGTTCCATTAATTTGCTAGAGCAGCTCACAGAACTCAGGAAAGCTGTTTTACTTACTAGGTTGCTGGTTTATTATGAAAGGAGATAACTCAGGAACAGTCAGCTGGAAGAGATGCATAAGGAAAGGTTTGGGAAAGGGTGTGGAGCTTTTATTTCCCATCCTCCCCAAATCTCCAAGTATTCACCAAACCCTATAAAAATGGGTTTTCTTGGAGGGTTTATTACATAGTCATGATTAATTAAATCATTGGCCATTGGTGACGGATTCAACCTCCAGCCCCTTTCCCCTCCCTGAAAATCAGGGGGTGAAACAGAAAGTTTAACCACTCTTCATGGTTGGCTCCTCTGACAACAAGCCCTCATTCTTATATGGTTTCCAAAAGTCAACTAACTAACATAAACCCAGTTGTGGTGGGAAGGGGCTTGTTATGAAGAGACCAAATTTAATAATAAAAGGTGCTTGTTTCCATTGCTCTTATCACTCAGAAAATTCCAAGGATTTTAGGAGCTCTGTGCCAGAAGCTCCAAAGATCAAATGTAGATCTCTAATTTTAAATCTGAATGTAACACTCTGCAATACTGTAGAAGGCACAGCACGAAATGTGAAAGAAGTCCCAAGCCTTAATGGACATTATATACCATGACGAGCTTTCAATACCTGCTGTGAAATGACAAAGCATGACAGTCATTTGTTATTGCTTCTCAACCAAACAAATGATCTTGTTTCTACAACTGGAGGTTGGGAGGAAGAAGTATGGTTATTCTAACCCTCTTTATGATTTCCATTTATAAAAGAATGCTCTGTGCGCTATTCCCCCAGGACAGAGAACTGTAATAAATGCGCACTACAAGTAAAATATGCTTATAGCTTATTTCCAATGGTTATGTGCCAGGCACCTCACTAGTCACTTTTATATGACTCGTCTAACTCACATTCTGAGAGTGAGTGGTAGGTTTTGTTATCCCCACTTTTCAGCAGAATGAAAGGACGCTTCCACAGTTAAATAGTTTACCTGAAATCCTCTAGCAGACGAGGAACTGATTTGAACTTCCAACCTGGCTGACTCAGAGCCTGTCTTAAGCCCTGGTTCTAAATCTCTATACTACTCTTCCAGAATTCAAATGAAAGCAATACAAAAGTGATCTTATTTGCCTCTGTTAATAAATTGCACATACGTTACCATAATTCATAAATTATTTGGTAAAATTAGAAGCTACCATTTGTTTTAAATATTTAGTCAAAAAGGACTGGGCTAGTACAATCTGTTGTTGCCCTCTATTTAATTAAACAACCACCTGGTTTCAGAGGTTACCAATTATACCACTTGAAAATACATATATTTGTCTAATTACAGCAATAATAAAAAGTAAGGATTGAGGAAGAGGGGGAGGAAATAACAAAGGAAGGAAATAAGGAACTGAAGGAGAAAAGAGGAGGAAGGGAGGGAAAAGGAAGGGAGGGAGAGAGAGACAGAGAAAGAGAGAGAGAGAGAGAAAGAGAAAGAGAGAGAAGGGTGGGGAAGCAAGAAAGGAAACAAGGAAATGCACTGCTGAGTGTCAAGCCCCTGTAGATGTCAATATCCATTCTGAATCCACTCTGAATCTCCTTCTATTCTATGGATTACTGCATCCCATAAATCAAAACATTTCAGTCCACACACCAAGAGCATTACAAATGGCACTTCTCATGGCAGAGCTGATTAATAGACATACTCAATGTTCTTCCAAGAGACTGAATATTTTTTAACTGTAGGATAAAGGTTTGAAATGCCACTTTTCTCATTTCCATGTGACTTACATATTTTCTAAATCACATTTCATTTCAAATAACCATTGCACTACAAGCTTGATGATAAAGAAAAGACATCATTATTAATAGTTTTGTAAATCTTGACAACTTATATTTTTAAATGGTTCTTTAGAAATGTTAGTGTTATGTCTAGAACTGATTCCAGTCTAATGCTATATAAATGAAAAGATGTAGCTTAGTACTTTTTTCAGGAGTGGCAGTATTGAAATCCTTACAAAGTAGTATTTGTTAATGATATATAAAAGCATGTTACATATCAGCCTCCAAAAATCAGCAAATAAAATTTGTTTTTTACAGATAAGCTGAAGACTATCCAGGCAATTTCTGCATCCTACGTCTTGATAAATTAAGAACTTCAGAGAAATCTCCAGGTTCACTGTATTGCATTCAGGCAGAATCAAATGGTGTTCAGGGAGTATGTGGCCCTATAGTAAGTCAAGGCAGCTGACTGCACAATGTGGCACTTGAATTAAACATATTCGAGGGTAGAAAAGACTATTTCTCCCCCACAGGAAATTAACCTGTTAGAGAGTGGGGATGTTTCATTGGGTAGATACCACTTAGAAAATATTTGTGATTGTTTGCATCTTACCTCGGTCATTCTGGCAAACAGCCTTCAGGATGCGATGTCCTGGGCCACATTTCCCATGATCGGGGATACAGATCCCTTCAGAGGCCAGCCATCGGTAACACATTGGATCCTCACAGGGAACAGATTCGACCAAATGAGGGCAATGTCCTGCAGGCCCCGTGGATTCCATGAGGACATGGCGCCGTCTCATTCTAAATCCTAAACACAGAAGAAGAAGAGTTCCACAGGGTGCTGTCCTTAACCAACAAAAGAAACAAGCAGCAGCGAGTAAAGAGGCGATGCTTTCATTTGAATACCTGTAGCTCTAAAACATGTATCATTCTGATGTGTTTTCTTTTACGCGAAATGGGAAAGATAAGAAGATGAAAGGACAGAAGTAAATGAAAATAACTAGAGCAGGAAATCTGTCTTCCAAAGATTACAGCCTAGAACGTGGAGAGGTCAGACATAATCAAAAGCAATAATAAGTAGCATGTGTCCAATGGTATCAATAAACAAGTAAAAATGAATGAGCACTTACAGAAACTGCCTAAGCACAGATAAATCCAGGTATTCTTTCTGCTGTAGTTTTTGACATTCTTGTTAGTCTGTATTAAGTCAAAATATATCTATACTTTGGCATATCCTTGATGCCTGAGCACTTACAGCTTCATGCCCTGAGATTTTCAGGTCAGCCTGCCCAGTACCTCTTTGGATCTGCACTCCTCATCCTGGCTAAACATGGTTCCCTGGGCTATCACTCAGTTAAACGAGAAAGTACTGTGAAACTAGGGCACACAGTCCCACCACAATTAATATACAAATGAATCTTACATGCTACAAACCTCCAGAGTCACACACTTATTCTCACAGGAGCCAAGCAGGTACAAATTGAGGGAAATGGGTAAACCATAAGACTATAGGGCCTGGTGGGGTCTGTGGTGATATGGAGGATTGTCTTGCTCTAAAATGGGTGTCTATTCTTCACCTTCCATTGACTGTGGCTATGGGGGAATATGGACTCATTTTTGTCAAATCTTCCAATTTTGTCTAAGAAGCCAGAAATATAAGTTATATTTTGTTCTTATATGAAATTTCTCTAATTTTAAATGATAGAAACTAATAAAACATGTTAAAAAGCAAAGTGAGCTAAAGAAAAGTGACTAGGAACTAGATAAATCCCTTTTGTCTGACTTTTATATCTGTGCTCCTTGTGATGTATCACTTCTGAAGGCTATGCCTACCTCCCATGGATCTCCAATTTTATGTTCCCTTCTTTAATATACAAAATTCAATCAACTGATTCAATTATTTTAATTCATTTAAAAAATAAAACCAATCTTATTGCATGGTAACATTTTAAGAAATTATTATTCATTTATGCCTTGGGGTAAGTAAAAAAAAAAAAAAAAAGAGTCTTTAATAGGAAGATAGCATGAAAACACTGAATTTCCAGAGTGTGAGTTAGATACCCAGTCACCCTTTCAACAAGAGGACACGCTAGGAAGCATGAGGGGTAACAAAGCCAGGCTTGTCTCTCCCACAGGTTTTCCTGGGCAGTGCCTATTATTCCACCAACAGTAATGAAATGAAAAGAATACAAAGCTCAAGGTGCAGGTGGTAAAGAGACTGGCTCCTCTTAGAGGGCACAGCCAAGGAGGCAGAACAAACTGGCACATGGTTTTAGGCCACAAGAGGGAGCCAAGCTTCTTAGAATATTACTGCAGGGCTGGGCAAGTATTTTAAGCAGTTGTAACTGCTATATTTGGGTTTTCTTGGTCTAGGGTTAGCCTAAGAGCCTCCCTTTAAATGAGACTCTTAGACTCTTACTTTAAGGATCAGCCCCTGGTGGGAAGGCATCAGTCGGCCAATCAGAGATCACATTCCCAAGGCATTGAAAAGATCACAGTCAGGGGTGATTAAAACAACAGAAGGCTTCTGCCTGCTTTATAACTCCAAGTCTATATTATTAATGTGTCAAAATAAAACCCAGGGAAGGGTTCAGCTCCCTTCCTGGGTTTGAGTAGAGATGCCTGAAACACACAGAGCTCTAAACTATACTTAAACATCAAACTACAATTACCTTTGAGCGCTCACTGCCACACACTTGGGATGACCTCTGTTCTTACATGTAATTCTCATATGCCTATAATTTATTGTCTGTGTTTGAGATTGTTTAGTTTATATCTTTGAGTAGGACACGGCATGGGTCTGCATGATTTACGTTGTTTGACAACCGGCTCAGAAATTGAGCAGTCTTTACTGAGGGACTACGGGTGTCCTGTACCTAGACCTGAATGCCATTGAGGGGCACGTGCCGTTTTCCTCTATAAATCAAGCTGCATCCATCCCACCGTAAATCTACAGATTGCAGCTCCTCGTCAATAAATTCTTTCAGTCTTTCCTCAGTGCCGCCCTTGTCCTGACTCTAACTAGGTTCAAATCACAGCACAAAGCTCAGCATAAAACAAGAACCTTGCGTTCTCGTTAGCACTTCGCTTTAATCGCGCATCGGTGCTCACGCCGGCAGCAGGCCTCGGGCTTCCCCGGCGCCCCCGTTCTGAAGGATGCCCCGCAGCCAAGGCCAAGGCTGGGGCCGGCCAGCCGCTCACTCTCGTTTACTAAATTTCACATTAATCGGGTAGCATCGTTCCGTAAACGTTAACTGCTATATGTAGATCACTATAATGTGCTGTGGGAAGCCACAGGAGGAACAGGAACATAAATCGACCCTTCCTAGAGAACGCAGTCCAGCGGGGGAAAGGCACACACATTAATTAAGCATCTCCCCAACACCAAGACTGTGACAGCCACTTACTTACATTACCCCAAATTAATAAATCATCAAAACGGTTTCATCACTGACTCTTCTCATTTTACATATTTAAAAACTAAGGCTGGAAGATACTTTATTGCTTCGCCGAAGGCTCATTACTCATGAAATGGATGTGTGTGAAATTCAGCCGAGGTCTTTCTGAGTCGTTACCTCCTCGCAGGAAAGGATTCGAGTCAGCTCTTGTGGGCGAGGTGCCCCAGACCCACTTCATCCAGTGGATCTGACAGGTACATGGATCATCTCTTTAAACTGAAGGTGTACAGTGTAGAGAGTGGACTTTCAGCCCCTGGTTAGCAGGAAGGAGTTGTAATAATCACTCCCTGTCCACAGATTCAGCTCACCTTGAGTGAAGCTAACACTCGCAGGGTTTTAATTTTTCTATGAACCTAAGGATTTAGTGTATAGTCTACTAGCTTAGTGTATATTCTACTGAAGATCGTTAGAAAAAGAGAGTGAATTGTGGAGAGAAAAGAACAACAAATAGCAGGGGGGGTCAATGTTTTTTAACTGAAGCCACGCACAAATGAAAAGAGGCTTCGGTGGGTATATCCCGGTCTGAGGACTGTATTTCTTCATGAGCTAGTGACCCAGACGTGTTCACGTAGCTCTGATGAAGCTACCCCTGGCCGATGCTGTTTCTCTACACTAACTCCACTGGGACAGGCTTGGAGCGAGGTCCCGCAGGAGGACCGAAGATGACAGAGTTTATTCCACCTTAAACATTTCATCTGCGCTTATCTCCATCAGTCTTGGACGTGTTAACAGCTCTGAGTCAAAGAAGCTGAGCAGATTAAATCTTTATTCCAACTCTAGAACTCAAACCACCATCAGGGTACCATTTTATAGCGTCATTATTCATGTACACCCTGTTTTGAATACAGAAAAGAAGAAGATGCATTTATAGGGTGATTGTGAGTGTGAGAACTCAATTCTTGGAATGAAAATCAGGCAGGACCCTGCACCAGCCTCAACACACCAGGCACAGAAAAAAGGGGGAAAACAAAACTGTCTCTTACTATACGTATTACCTGGGATGAAGCAAAATGGTGTTATATGCTTCTCGTTGAAGGTGGACTGAGCTAGCACATGAGCACAGAAAATGGAAAATTTCCCCGTTATTACTACATATGATCTAAAACATGTATTTCCCTACTTTAATGTGTTATCTAACTTGCTTTATTTCAGAGCATAAAAGACTGTCTTTGCAAAGATAGTCATGGCTTTTCCATTGCAAAACGCCTTTTCCTATGGAGGCTTTTAGGACACTAGGTGCTGTGACTGGGGGGCAGTTCTGCATGGGAGCGAGATGGGATTCCTGGCATCCTACCACATAAGCAGTTATCTACTGAGACACCATATCCAGGGGTCCCCATCATTTCCTCTCAGAACCACCTCTGTGAGCAAGTTGGCCTTTCAAATATAAACCAACAAAAACGCATGTCTATATATCAACAATACTTTCAAAAAGCGTATTGCACCTATACAGAGGGTTCATCCACCAGCAATTTTTCAGGTTACTTCTCTTTCATGAATCTCTAATTACACCTCTCTGGGAACGCATCGAAAATAAAGCAATGAGTGATAAAACCTGACCCGATTTAAGTCCCTCCGAAAGGTGTTCTAGCCTCACTTGACAAGTACCAGCCTGCCCGGCACTGCTGTCCTTGTCCGCCTGTCACAGACCAGGCGGGAGGTGCGAGGTCTGAGCACAGCAGCTGCTTCCGAATGCCCCCCGCGAGGCTGACGGACACAGGCCCCGCTCCGGACCGAATGGCACCTGCCCGAGAATAACAGCCACAGGAGGATGACTTCTACACGAACCACTAGAAAATAAAGCATTTAATGCTTTCTTATCCATTTCTACTATTTTTTTAAAATGTGAGCAAAAGAAACGTACTAAAGTTATAACACAGTGGCTCAGAAAAGATACTGAGGAGAAAAACGTAATCACCTCCAGGTTTCCACATTTATTTTCTTGCTGTTGTTGTTTGCTTGTTTTCCCTCAAATCCTCCACCAGATAGAGAGATAGAGATAGAGATTAGAGATAGATAGAGAT